ATTTAATAACAGTACAATTTTTACAATTTTTACAATTTTCTTACAAATAACAATTATTAGACATAAAGTGTTTTTCTTCCAATAAAACAACACATAATATAATAACGTATTTGTTACAGTTTGTATTCCCTTAAAGTGTATTTCAAATTGTTTCTGATCTTAAACAAAATTAGAACAGTTACATATAACGTTGCCATGTATTTTTTTATGTTCTCTGTTAACAAAACTTAATTATTTTTCAGGGTATCTTTAATAAAGAAAAATAAAATTTTGAAAAATATAAAATTTTAGAAAGCATTATGACTTATGAGAATACATATATTATTATCATAGGTGTGCGCAGACTTTTGTACATAATTTTATTTACAAAATTACGTTCGTTAGATTCAATATGTGATGTTTTTAGTAAATTACATTTTTATTTGTTTGTAAATACACGCAGACACGGATAAAGTACGCAATAAAGTAGAGCTGTTGATTTTAATAATACAGTCAATGTTGAAATCAATATTTATAGCTACACTGAAAAAAATTTCTGGTTGAATATGGACGAATCAGATAATTCCTTTAGGATTTACCAGAAATGTTTTCGTCCATATTCAACCAGACATTTTTTTCAGTGTATGAATTTACATGATTAAATGAACTGTCTACGTATTCTACGTAAAAAAGTCATATTTCATTTAAATTACAAAGTACGGCTAATCATCATATGTATACGTAAATTTTGTGTCGAGTCAGGTGGGGAGAAGATAATGATATACTTAAAGTCGTTTCCAGTACAGCCATACCAGTTATCGCGTAGACTTGGTGAATGTCAGATGTACCTTTTGATCAAAGTACCTTTCGTTAAACTTCAAAGAAATCTGTGTTTTAATCGCATTACATTACATTACAAGCTTTTTGATTTCTAACACATATAATATCTGACATTTCATACGTTTTGGTCATATACACGTTTTACATATTATAAAAAAGTGCAATTGCTGGAAACATTTCGAGTTCTCAATGCAATAACGTAAAACGTGACAGTGTTTCATTTTTGTGTTGTTTTCTTGATTAACTGAATCGCTTGAAGAGATTGGAAAAATATTTTATTCATAAATTACACAATTGACAAAGTTTTCAAAGAGGAAGAAAATATGTTTCACTTACAAATTTAATTAGTGGTATGTATCATACAAGTTTTCTAACAAGTGCAAAATGTTCGTAAACATATATATATATCTTTTTGTGTACATAAAATAACATAAAAGATACACATTTTATTCTGTATTTCAAATTAATTTTAAAATACAAAGAACGAAACGACAAAAGCGCTCTTAAGAAAGTCAAATCGGTAAGTGATTTTAATCTAAATGTATATATAAATTAATGAAATCGAATTCGAGAATGTATATTTTTAACTAAAAAACGTACAATACGATTAATTAACTAAATAAATTTGAAACATTTCTTATTTAATAAATGATTGATATGCAATCCAAATTATAAATTATAATACCGTGTAAATACATTTCATCCAGAAAAAGAATATAATACTATTGATCCATGGGTCGGGTTTCATTGAACTACGCGTAATTGAATGCTCCCGCAACAATGCAGCCGGGTTTTCCTCATAAATGTTTCTTTTGACTTTTCGCATTTCTTTCTTGTATAAAATAATACTTGTATTAAATAGATTAGATCAGATTTCATAAAATTCCACGCAATGTGAAGCAAGTACTCGCGTCGTAAAATAAGAAAACAATATTAAATTAATTTTTTTCAAATATTTTAATGCATTTAGTCAGTATATGCATTTTTCTATTTTACGTAATCAAATTTCTCTTAGGTACGTTACTTTCATAATTATCGACCGCTAAATAATTTTTTTAAAACTTGTTTGTTGAGACTACATTATTAGAACGAATACATATTTACAGACATACTTTTTCTATCTCTTATCTGTCTACTATACTTTACAATTAATGTATACATTATCAGAAGATTAGAAAATCGATTTCGTTACTTAATAATAATCTCCTCAGATAATTTTAATTTAAATAATTACCATAAAATTCAACATCATTACTATTCACCTAGGAATTACTTGTCCGCAATTCAAATTTCCGAGAATATTTTATATTCTTGCAATAAACATTCCATTAGCGTTATCTACTTTATTAGTGTTTTCATCTTATATGTGTAATAATCTCGTGACAATTATTTTGTAAAATTAGAATACAAAATAACTTAATTAACATAATGCACAGTCATTGTTATGGATAAATCTTATACTCTAATAAACGTATGCACTGTTCTACATATCAATAAAAAAAAACTAATCCTATTCAATTATTCAGATTATTCAATAATGTCGATAAAAAAATAGTGACTCATTTTTATGCCTCAATTGTTATTTTATTCTTGTAATTTATAGGAAAATTATTTCGACATGCAAATATGAAGGATAATTTACTAAACAATATTTACATCTTGTTTTTAAACTACTTTATTTTCAGATTTTTTTCAGTTTATTACCAAATATAATTTGCATGTCTCTTAAGAGTTGTTTGTCACACTGCTCTTTTTGTTCGTATTGATTGATGTGAGAATGAATATTTTGACGATGCCATCACAATGCATCGTTCGTGGTTGCAAAAGTTTCTCAATCGAGATTGTACATTCGATCGAAAGTGCAACAGTATATGCCGCCATGTACGGTGTTCACAGAAAAAAAAATTAAAATAATTAAAGCTCGGCACATCCTTCACCGTCCGAAATCTAAATACAGTATCTGAAATCATAAATGCTATAATATTGTATGGGATCCGATTCGTTTTTGAGAGAATTTAATTTAATAATGCGCACACTCAGAAAAAAGTTTCTTTGAATCAAACAAATTTGCTTTGAATTTCGACCTAAACTTTTACTTAATTTCAAAGTAATGGTTTTTTTATCTTAACCAAAATTTTATTTGACTGAGACTGGAATTTCTCAAAGAATTCACATCTATTTCTTCAGATCTAGCAAATGTTTTAGTAGAAGTAATTAAAAATTTAATAGATGTAAAGAAACACGATTTCAACGTATCTTATTTGAACAGCAGCTTAGTGACGCCAGTCAAAAAATCAAGAATTTAAATAACGTTGACGACAAGTAAGTTTAGTAAGTATGGAAACAACCTTACTGGCAATTCTTTATTATAATAATTAAGGCCCGGATGTTCGGGCGATTTCTTGGCTCGCGCGCGGAACACCGCTGCGTGCGAGTGAGTCGGATGCGAATTGACGATCGGTTGGCGTGCGATCTGCTGAATGAGAGAGCTCGAAGAGAAGGATTCTCATCTTCTACCTTCTCTTCGAGCTCTCTTTGTATTCAGCAGATCGCACGGTCCAAGGCCGATCCGTCCTCCCAGACGAAAACCGCTGCATCCATATGGTGGCCGGTGGCTGCAGCGGCTTTCGTCTAGGAGTAGTGCAGCCGATCGTCAATTCGGATAGATCGGTTGGTAGGCATCAGGTCTCCTCAAGAAATGTTGCTATCTCGCATCAGCGTGCATCCGACAACTCGCACGCAGCGGTGCTCCGCGCGCGAGCCGAGAAATCGCCCGAATATTCGGGCCCTTATAATAAAACACAACGTTTCGGCCAGTAATACTGGTCCTCTTCAGGTAACAAACTTACAAGAGTGCCTACAAACGTCTGAAGAACAGATAAACAAAATGTAAACTAAATTAGGATAAGTTCTTACATTACAGAAAAATTAAGGTGTTATTTTATGTAATATAACTTACAAGATTCGTCAGATTAGAGATGTGAAAGTTAAGTTAAAAGTGAAAAATTTCGTTGTACAATGTGTCTTGTCGTCAATGTTAGAAAACATATACGTTTATTTCGAACTCCTAACTTAATTTTGAAGCAACGATATTTGAAAGGTTTTGTGAATAGCATTTGTAGTTTTATCGCTTGAGAGCAGGACTAGCGCATTATTGTGAAAACTTAAAACCTTGAAGATATATTATCTTGCACGAAAACGCAAGAATAAACAATTACCCCCAAAATTAAACGCAATAGTTAAAATCAAAAGAGAGCCATATAGTAAGAATAAAGTAAGACGTACAAATTATTAGAATAAAACAATTTTAAGATTGAAATAAAAAACTTAGAGATAGAGAGAGAGAGAGAGAGAGAGAGAGAGAGGAAGAGGGAGAGGGGGGGAGATTTTAAACGCTGCGTGAGAGAAACCTTATGAATCGGCGGACATAACTATTAATAACAATGCATCTTAATGAAATTCTCAGAAATTATATATTAGTTTGACATTACAATAGCAAGTAAGTTTAATTAACTGCCAGTGATAAAAATTACAATTAGTCGTAAAGATAAAGTGAAATATTACAAATAAGTTTTGTTTAACTCAATAAGATATCGGTGAATCTTTTTCGTATTTCTTACTTTTTTGAAAAGCCAATCGGTCCAAAACGCTTTGAAATTATCTGAAAAAATATAATTGTTGCAGTTCGGTCGCTGATCGAACAGTCATCACCATTTCGCAAAATGGTGCAGCAAGAAGCGGTGGTCGTGAGGAATGCTTCGAAGCGTTATGGGAAAGGACAGCCGATACTCGATGGTTTGAATATGATGGTTTCAAGGGGTTCCATGTAAGTAACTGTTATTTATTGTGTATACAAAAAATTAATCGTCTTCCTATCCAATTTCCGTCTCGCGGAGTGAAGTTGTAAGTGAACAATTCGAGTTTTCTAAAAGAAGTCATTGAGAAGATATTCTCTAGGAGAGAAAGCACTGAAGATTGCATTATTTCTTAATACTTGCGATTACTGCGCGATTTTTAATCATCCAACAAACACGGTAAACTTACGTACAGCATATCTTTCGCGGCAATCTGATACTAATTTCTTCATCCTCCAATATGTTGGAAATTGCCTGAAATTGTCGTCACGCACTTTTCCGCGTACATTCACCGATTGCTTAAATTGCCGTCGCTTGCAAAATACACGACAAGATAATCGCATAACTTTCTAACGAATATTCAGATGAGAAATTCTTTCGGAATCTATCAGAATCATTATAATCTCATTTAGAACTTGTGTCCAATCTCTAAAATATTTTATTGTTTCTAATTTGCGTTTTTTTTTACAGCTAGTTGAATACTTGTTAGATTTGTTAGGATTAGGGCTTCTGTGAGGAAATAAAAATCATTGTCAGACATATATTTAGCGTTGTGCAACGTTAAACGCATACGCGCGCACACATACACACAAATCTCAAGGCACACTAGAAAGTAATACACAGACTTGATTCTCGATGTATTCATAATTTCCGAACTAAAACAAAATTCTTATTTAAATGAGTAGAAGTAAACTGAAAAACTTGATATGTTTAATCAAAATTTAATAATTATTACCCAAGGAGAACACATAAGTCAAAATGATGTCAAAATGACATCTTTCAAAAGTCATAGTTGTATCAGTCATGATGACGTCATTATGGTTCTTGGCAAATACGGTTTTGTGACATCATAAAGACGTTAAAATGAGGTCTTCTTGACTTATCTCGTGACTTTTTTTTACGTAGTATATAAATTAATAATATATTTGTATTTAGGGTTATCTTAAAAATAATGTTTTTTAATGATTTATTATATTTAAAAAACACGAATTAATACATTTTTCAGAGAAAATGAGAGAATTAACATTCCTTTTTCAATAATGTGTGTACGCACGCACGCACGCATGCACATATTGTTGAAAAAGGAATGTTAATTCTTTTATATTCTCTGAAAAAATGTATTAATTAGTGTTTTTTAAACATAATATATCATTAAAAACAAATTATGGTATATATATATCTCTCTCTCTCTCTCTCTCTCTCTGAACGCCACTTTCTCTAATCGGTGGATTGGTCGTGGCAGTGCCATTAATTGGTCTCTAGACCTAAGTCCGTTGGATTTTTGTTTATGGGGTTGGATGAAGAGTGAAGTCTACAGAAGAAAAGTGAATACACAAGAAGAACTGCTCAAATAATGAATGCTAGTGCCCGCATAAAGGAACGTCACGATGTACTCAGACGAGCAACACGCCATGTTCGCACAAGAGTTGAAAAATGCATTAATGTTAACGGTGGAATTTTTAAAAATTTATTATAATTTGTAAAAAATCACTTGAACAATAAATATTAGAAATAGTACGTAGTATTTCTTTATTGTTAGTATTTTTGTAATGGTACATTCAAGTAGCTCTATCTCGGAGAAACAGTGGGGAATAGGACATATATTCATATGAACAGTTTTGCTCAAAATGACCGATACTATCACCTCCCAAAATATTGACCTTTTTCCTCCTGAATCACCCTGTATATACATATAAGATAATTTCAATGAATAAGTGCCAGGCAATCTCCTCTCAAAAAATTATATTTTCGAAAATAAGCATAATGGCGAGTCACTGTATAGTCATATTGAAGTCATAAAGTTTCAGTGATCAAACTCTGATATTTTCCCGTTATCTTGACGTCACCATGACATCATTTTGACTTTTTGTTCTCCTTGGGTAGTCATATAATGACTACACGTGGTTAAGAAACATGTTTCCTAAGACGTTACATTTTTTTCTTGCCTGAAATTATCCTAGATAGTATCCTAAAGTTCTTTGTGAATCTTATCGTAACATCTCCACCGACTTATCCGTTGGAAAGACTTCATCCACTGCTTCTAGAATATCATCTATCGCTGAAGCATTATCTAATTTGATCGCCGTCTTCTCATTAACATGATGGTTGCCAGTGATGTTTTTTGCTGATACGCGTCTATTTTTTGTATCATATTCTTTGTTCTTCTTCGAAGATATGGGAACGTCAAGTGTCCTTCGAGTCTTTAGAATGCCCGTTACGTTTTTCAAAGATCCATGCATAGCACCCGTTCCTGTAGATTTCGGTTGATCAGTCTTTTGTAAAGTGCCTATGGCAATCTCTCTTGGCGAAATTGAGGAAACATTTTCCAGTTGACCAAACCGTTTTTCATCTTTCGTGCGATTGTCGTGAAGAGTACTTATAAATTTGTTCGACTTTGACGAAGTTTTGTTTAACATAAGATTTTTATCCTCAAGTGTTTTTATTTTAGAAATAACTGTATCATTAACGATAGAATTATCGTCAGTGGATACGTTAAAATTTTCATTGATTGGCATTTTAACAGTAGTAAGACTCTTATCTTCAATGTCACTTTTTATACGTTTTAATAATTCCGAATTGTTCATTTGTGTTTCTTCTGTAGATATGATATAATCACTCGGTATATTTTCCCAAGCTTTATCTTTACTTATTTCAGTCTTGTTAGTTTCACTAAGATTTTCTTTATTGTTTTCCATTAAGGTTTCTTCTTCAGCCTCAATCTTTTCAGTGTTTAAAATAATGTCGCTTCTATTTCCTTCTTTTGGCTTCTCATGCTGTTGTTGATTCTCCGCTACTAAATTGTCTAAAATAAATTTTGCTTGTCTTTGTAAATTTAAAAGTCTCCATCTTGAGATGTAATCGCGATCATTGTGCAATTGTCGCCATTTTACATCAAACAATTTGTTTAACCATAATAAAGCATGTTGAATCGACTTAGCGTATTCAAGAGACAGATCATATCTTGAAATTAATCTCGCCATTTCCAACGCAAATTCGGGGTTAGAGAGCATCCATGAGAATACAAGATAGTTTTTATCGAGATTCATAGAATTCGGATATTCTTGAGGTACATGATGCAAACTTTCATAGTCAATTGAATTCCGATGAAGGAGTTTTTTATAATAATTTTCATGGTCTTGTACCAGCAATGTCGTGCGCTGCAAGATATTTTCAACGTCGTTTCTGGCCTGTATAAAAAGTATTAAAAGTTACTTATTTAAACGATTAAAAAGTTAAAATTGACGTGAAAATTTAATTCTTAGATATAGCTAAGTTACGAAAAGTTAAATCTGCGAAAATCAATTGATTTGATTATGAAACGTGTTGTGATGCCGTGCCCTTTGTGAAATCATTGTTACACACGATATGAAAATATTTCCTTTGATAAATATTGTCTTGTGTGTATAGAATTATTTGTCACGTTAGCTTCGCAATCACTGTGTCGAACTTCACCTCTGAAAAAAATCAAAATTCGTTTTTGCGTTAAATAATATAAAAAATGTTTAATTTTTTACTATATTGTTTTTTGGAGTTTCTAGGCTGTAGATTTCTTGTCTTTGTATTGAGAGATTATAACAAATATTTTTTTCTAAATTATAATTAATTAAATTACATTAAATATAATTACTAATTGTAAATGTCATTATTAAATTACATTAAAAATTTATATTATTAATGATATACATATCTATACAGGGTGAAATTTATTTCGTGTCTTTTACTATGAGAGATGGATTACTGACCGAAACTGTAGCTTATATCTCTTAAGATACAATTAGATATTACATGATTGAGACATACATATGTATGTATGTATTATGAGAGTTTTCCATTTTTTCCCGAGTTAGCTGCAGTCGGTAATCCTTTGGTCGGTTCCATCTTTCTCTTCATTTCTCATTCAATCCATCTCTCATGGTAAAAGACTGGGACACGAAATAAAATTCACCCTGTATGTATACAGGGTGCTACGCAAGACTTTGACGTCCGGTCATGGGAAGGTAGAGGGGACTAAGACAAACAGAAAAGTATTGTACTATTTTGCGCTTGGACGAATAGTTATCGAGATACGAAA